ATATGGGTGTCTGGTAAATCACCCACTGAATTTCATTAGTTTACAAGAAAAAAAAAAACCATCAGCTTGAGACCTCGTATTAGTTTTCATGTGCACACAAAATCCAGAGAGCCTGAGCTCCTCTCAGTCAGTGCACATGGGCTGGAGACCTGCCTGCTAGAGCTGGCTGCTGCTGAGCATGCCGAGTCCTTCGCCCAGCGCCCCACGGATTGTGCTGTTGCCAGTGAGATCTGGGATTATTTCATCAAAACAGCCGATACTCCCGGTTTAGGTTCAGGTCACAGTCACCCCCCCTTGCAGATTCACCTGTGGAAGAAGGTGCTGTTTGTTCTCATGCCCAGCCCAGGTGTCTGGCAGGGAGCGTGGCCCGAGCTCCCTTCTAGCACCCTGGTAGGTTCCTGGGGTGCAGGGGGTGCAGCTGAGCTTTCCCCACCCTCCGGCAGCGCCGTGGCGTGTGTGGCTCCCTGTCCCGGGAGGTCCGGAGCGAGCTACTGTCAGACTGCGCTGGCCGGGAGCCCTGATGTGGGGTTTTGGCTGCTCCCCCAGCAGGGACAAGGGCAGATTCCTTCCCCCGAGGCTCTGATCGGATGTCTCTGTCTGTGCTTATTGCTGACCTTGAAAGCACTGAGTTGTAGGATAGCGTTTGTAGCTTGAATTCCTTATACTGGATGATTTATTTCTTGCTATTTATTTCAGACCTGTATTTATGTGCTCTGTAAAGAGATGTTCTGTTGCATCAGCAATCAGTGACCAGATTACACTGTGCCCTGGGGAAATGACTTCTTGTATTTCCAGAGAAGTCATTTGACTTTCCAGTTTCAGACGTGGAGCTCTGAGGGTTGTTAACTGCTGGGAAGTCCAGAGCTGCCAGTCCAAGCAGTGTGAGGACCCCTCAGTAGCTTTGTTTTGAAGTGTTCAGTCACTTCCTGAACCTTCAAAGCAAGTGACTTATTAGAAAGTATTGATCTTATCTTTTCTTGCTCTTTTTATGTGCTCTGATGTTTAAGTCTTTTCACACGTTAAAATAGAAGTAACTACCAGACATGTTTTTCTCTTTTTTTTTTAAATAGAAGTAAGGAATTAGTAATTTTTTTTTTTTTTATAAGCAAGTCAAGCTTGGAAATGTCTGGTTGTGTGTGAAGTTGAAATGTTACACCTTATCCCCAGAGAGCAGCAAGCCTTGCCCTCGCCATTCCCTGCTTAACAAGTGTTGGACAGAATTGGTGGAGTTGAGTTGAGTTGGGTTTTGGTGCAGAAGTTTCTGCATTTCCAGCCAACTCGTGCCACAGTAGAGCTCGCTCGGCCAGGACAGCAGTGTACAAACCCAAGGCCTGATCTTGCAGACAGAGGCAGGTGTGTTTCTGTGAGTGAAAGGCCTTGATGAAATTACTTTATTAATTTTTCCTCTGCAATATTTCCCATGTCTCAATTGAAAACACAATTGAGAGAGAAGAGAAAGGAGAAACTGTTTGTCCACTTGTATTTTGCAAACCATGGAAACCGCAGCCGTCTAGTGGAGCTGGTGAGATGTCACGTGCTGTGACTAACCCCCAGCCTGACTGCCAGCGTCGGGAGAGATTTTGCCAATCTCTCATTTCTATCTTGACAGCATCCTTTAAAATAATTAGTTGTGGTGAAGTATCAAATGTCAGAAAAACCCACCCCATAAACAAATATCCATCAAAGCTTGTTTGGGAAAGAACTGGATAATCTTTGCCATCACACACACACACACAGTCTCTCTCTCTCTCTCTGTCTTTTTCTCTTTTCCATGTTTAAAATATTCTTTCAGGGACAGAAAGTTATTTTTCCAGTAATGTGCCAAACCCTGTAATCACACTGGAGTAATATGCCTAAAAATATTATGCTTGTCATGGCTGTGTAATTTGGACAAGTGCTGTATTTATTACAATCATTCATATTTTCTTACCATTTTATTTATTTCTTAAATAAAGCTCGCTAACTTAAAAAAGGTTTGCCTGTTCTTTGCACTGTGAAACAGGGAACGGAGCAACGTGGCGATGCAGTGATAGCACTTGGCTATCAAAACAGCTGAGCAGTGCTGCAGCACTCACTTATTTCTACAGTGGGATCCCAGTGTGGGTGACCCAGGGACAACCAGCCCCTGTCCCCAAGAGCTGATCATGCCAGTGGCCAGCCGAGGCGCTCGGGGTGGAACACCTTGGCTGTGGTCCTGCAGGAAATCAGTGAAAATTCTGGGAATGAACCCTAAAGCGTCTCTCATGTCAGTGCCATAACGATGGGGGTTTTCTTTCCCCTCTGGAAGCTGGTGTGTTTGTATGGAAGACGTAGCACCCAATATACAGGGGTTTGAGCTGGGAAGTTCCATGAAGGGTTGTACAACTCCAACCCCCGTGGCACTGCCGCCGTGCCAGCCGAGCTCGGTGTGAAGAGGGATCTGGCTGTGGGGAGGTGAGTGTGGGTGATGGTGGCGTGATCTGGCACAGGGACCTGATTTCCAGAGCCTCTTGTGGCTACTGGAAGGGCGGCAGCAGCTGATTTTACACAAATTACTGCAGATTGAGATCGTGGTCGGTGCTCTCTGGTTGCCAGGGCAGTGGGAGCTGCTCCGTACCTGTGTGACCTTTCACACAGGGTGGCTTGGCTGCTTCTTTGCTCCGCTGTTACTTTTTTGTGTAAAATCCTTTCCACACAGAGCTGTTAATTCTTAAAAATATTTAAGAGGGGTTTCCTTGTGTGAGAGACGGAGAAGGTGGGGAAAATGAGTAAAACCGTGTGTGGGTGAGAGCTGGGGAAAGGCAGAAAGTGTGTGGGAGAGAAAATGTGAATATGCATGTGGGAGAGAGAATATTTAAGTGTCTGTGTCTGCATCACAGGAAGCAAAAATATATGTGAGTGCATGTGTGCAAGTGCGGGTGGAGATACATCCAGCGGAGAGTGAATGACCCGACGCCTCCGTGCTTTTCTCTAGTGTGATTCCACCAGGAACAATTACACTGATTTTCTTCAAATCCTGAGCAGGATTTCGCTGCTGGCAGCAGCCTGGGGTTGCTGCAGGCGGGAGGTAAAATCACACAGAAGCAGGACAAGCTGCGGGGAAGCAGAAGCATCCAAACTGGCTGAATAAATACCCTGGAGAAAGGACACGATGCACCGGGGCTCTGTCCGTCCCGGTGTGACCGATACGTCTGTGCCTGACCTGCCCCGGACAGGGGAGCGCGGCAAGACGGGGAGGGCTGGAGACCTCGCTCAGCACCTCCCCTCTGCAGGGACGTCCACCTTGGAGGACAGGGCTGATGATGGAGAAGGGACCTGCTTGGTAAAAATCAATTTTAAAAGTTTATTAGAAGCTCCTTAGTTCCAGTTTTCTTCCTAGCTGGAAATTCCCAGTGGAGAAGTGACATGGGAGCTGTGCTCATTGTCCCACAGCGCAGGGCTGGAGAGGAGGTGCCGCTGACTGACCGCTTTGGTATGAAATCACCGGAGGAGCATCACGTGGAGCCAGCTTTTGAGATGACTCAGGCCTGGATGGCAAATATCTGCAAAGGGAGGAGATCTGTTACCAGCTGTGCTTGTGGGGCTGGCAGCTCGGTGCTGTGAAACCCTCCCTGGGACAGGAGGTAGGTGAAGCAGCAGGTGAGAGCCAGCCTTGTGGGGAGCAGAGGCGAGCTGAACCCCTGTGAAGCTTGTGAAAGGGGCTTGTTAATTGTGGGCTCTGTGCGTGGGCAATTGATGGAAAAGTCTTGAGATTGCTGGAGGCCCAGGACAACCAGGAGGCACCTGGAGCCGCAGGCTCAAGCCGGGGGATGGAGCCTGTGAAGGAGCATCATGGGCTGGAGGAGCAGGACCAGTGCTGGGGCTCACCCTGGAGAGCAACAGCAAAGCCTTGGAGCCTGTTGTTTCCAGGCTGCAGGATGGGATGTGGGTTGGGAACACCCTGCTAGAGAAAAGGGGGAGCAGAATCCCCCAGGGCAAGAGAGGGGCTACCACAGCCACCCAAGGAGCCATGTCCTGTCATGTCCCTGTCTGCACAGCATTGCCCCACAGGGGAACAACCCCAGTTCTTCTGGAACTCTGCTAATTACAGCTGCACTAACAGGCAATTGCTTACTGCAGGTTTGTAGCCAGGTCCAAAGTCCTGCAGTACATACAGGGCTTTACTCTCCATTTTGTCATTTTTCCTCAGGAACAAAACGGGCTTCTTTCTCTGTCTCTTTCTCTCTTTCTCATCTTTCTCTTTTTTTTGTCTCTTTTCTTTCTTTCTCTCTTTCTTTCCTTCTTTCTTTTTGGGGGGATGTCTTTTCTGCCCCATGCTCAGGTACTGCAGACGTGTATATAACCTATCTGTGTCAAAATTATGTAAGGGCTCCATCCATATAAAACCTGCACAGCTGTAAGAACACTTACAAGCTCTTCATGTCTTATGCAATTGCACAGAAGCACGCAAAGAAAGTTAAAAAGTTAAAAAAAAAAAAAGGTATGGATTAAATTCACGCTAAATAAACAATAAAGGCATGAACCCAATGCCTAAACGCTCTTCCTCTTAAAGGCCCAGCCAGTATAAACCACCCGGCTGTCAGATTTCACTGCTGTGATGCTCATTACAACCCCTCCTTTGTTCCAATGTGCCCTTTGGTTTATCACTTTGTTCTGGAAGGGCTCGAACAAGCGCTAACTCCCCCGTGCCGCGGCGCGCGAGGCACCGCCGGAGCGTTACCGTGTCCCCGTGGAACGCATCGAACCACGGCACTTCCCAAACGCAGGGCTCCACTCTGGGCTCTGCTCTTCCTGGAACAGGCTCCTGATATCATCTCTGAGACCTGCAGCCACAAAACCACCTCGATAAGGAAATGGATGCCACTTACCAGGAAAGAGGCTGAAATTGGAGCCACACCAAAGCTTCACTAATCCAGCAAATGGGTTCTGTTGCAGAAATGAACAGCCAAAGTGATTTATTTGTTTGTTTGTTTGTTTTTCTGCATC